CTTCTTCCTCAAAAATGCTTTCCATGCTTTTTTCCCACAGATCTGGGTCATCTTCATTTTTCAGATCTGTGTTCTTTAGTCCCTATAGCTTTTTCATCTATTTTACATATTTCTCTACCTCTGCCTCTCACCAGTTCTTTCTATGTACCAAGTGTTCAACCAAAATCTCCGTTGAAGTTATTTGGATGAGTGGTTCTATCTTTTGATTTTGATTTTTTTCCTGGCTTGTATTTTGGCTACTTTGATTTTATTCCCACGTATGTTTGTGGTTATTCAAATTTGATATGACTTGTATTTGGTTTTGCCATTGTTTGACTTTATTTTGGCCTCCAATTCTGGGGGAACATTTACCTCGGTTGTTGCCTGGTCTACGGATTATCCCAGTTATAGTGGCTCCTTCGACTTTTATCTTAGTTGCAGCACTGATGTTCAGACTGACGTCCATCCCAGCCCTTCCTTTACTAATGTTCATTCCAGCACATTATAGTTGATGTTCATTCCAGTACTGTCTTTTTACCAGCTCTTCGGACTGATGATCATTCCAGTTGATTTGTTGTCCTACCGATTTCTCCGGTTGATATTTCGTGAAGCTTTGTTTTTAGCTTTCTTTCTTTCCAAGAAGAAATGTTCATCCTATTCACCCTCCATCTTGAGGGGGAGTATTAGAGATATGAATATTTTATTTTATTTTTAATTGAGATATTCTAGATCTTACTATTTTCTTTCTATTTTTTAGTTATGTTATTCTATATAAGAGCTCCAGATGTACAAATGAATTAACCAATTAATGAAATTAATATTTTCCATTTTCTCTCTTTTACCTTCTAATTAGGGGTGTAAATGGGTTAGGCCGGCCTACGACCTAGCCTATATTAGGCAAAGCTTGGCCTATTATAAATAGTAAAATAGAACAGGCCTAGGCTCTTAAAAAAAACTATTTGAAAAACAGGCCATAAGCTTTTTAGTACATGTCGGGCCTATAAGCCTACAGGCCGGCCTATATCATATTGTTTATTTAAAATATAATAAATAATAATATTATTTTAAAAATTTTGAATAATAAATTAATATTATTTTAGTTATTCTTTTAATTCTTAAATGTTTAATAGGTTTAAACATGCTAACAGGCTTAGGTCAAGACTTTTATTTTTTAAATATAGGTCAGACCAGACTTGTAATTTGAGGCCTACACAGGCTAATATGTCAGGCCATACCCATAATTTTTTACAAAGACATGACATATTTAAGCAAAAGCCTAGCCTTGCCTAACTTATTTACGGCCCTACTTCTAACAAATACACAATAATTAGCTGGTCACACTGGAAGTAGGATGTTAGTCAATACTCTTTCACGCATTTTTATTAAGTGAATTTATCTCGTAGTATCATGTATTTGAATCTTAGAGTAATTGCTTTAGGAAGTTCTTTATTTAATTACCGTCTCTAACCCAATCCTGATCATTGATTGTGAAAATTAAAGGTTAAGATTTGGTGTCAAATTTTAAAATTTGACACCAATGTCAAAGGATCCTGACTCATGAAATAATATTTGACTCAAAGTCTTACATTCTTAAAATTAGAGAATTCCAAAATGGATTTGTAATTGACAAACTTGAATATCACCATCGTCATATAAAAGAAGGGGATGATAAATGAAAGGCAGGCTGCACAATTTAATTTATAATTAATATTTCAAGGACATGATGTATGGAATATAACGAACAGGCCCTAAAAATACAACAGAAATTCATGTTGAGGTCAGAAGGGGAAGTGTGTTATAACTTATGTATTGATCGACGATGACTTTAGTTATGGCTATCAACAACATGCTAATTAAGTTTTGTGACCACCCTTCAGGCATTAAATGGGCACGGGTCCCGTCTAGTAAGGTCAACCATAGCTATACCTTGGAGGGTTCTTTGACAGAGATATATGTTTGACCCTGCCGATGTAATTCAAGGCACAATAACCCTATCAACCAGAATTAGCCATATATAAGTTCTTGATTCATGAGGCATATTTTTGGTCCACGAAGACACTTTCAATTTTATTTATTCATTTTTGGTTATTAAGACCTTTTCAAACTTTTTTTTATTTAGATTTCTTCTCGGATTCATTGATTAATTGACTAATTCGATCGAGCTGGATAGAATAATAAGAATGCCATAAATTTTTTTTACCAAATTTTTAGTACAGTTGTATATATACCTAAAACTTGAATTTGAAGCCACCGAATCAACTTGAACAATTTTTTACTAATTGATCCACGTGTTTAGTGATAGAGCGTTGGAACTTTGTTACCGCAACTAATGAAAACTACTGAAGGCGAGAAAAGTTTGCTTGAAACTATGAAAGGGCACAATGAAATAGACTTTATGGGTTAGATAATTGATAAGAAACTTTGACTGTCACCAATAGTTTGAATTACCAGGTTACTAGGCAACGTAAGGCAACGAAACAATATTCTAACAAGAGAAGGAGTTTTTTTTTTTTTTGAGATTATCCCCCCCCCCCCCCCCCCCCCCCCCTCCTTTCCCGCGTTAATTTTATAAAAATTTTATGAATTAATCCGGAGTTTGAAGCGGATCCAGATTAAAGTTTTAAACCTCTTCCAAAAATAGTATTAAAAAAGATTGAAGACACACTCTTACTCCTTTCTACTTACTCAATTTCTATACGTCAATTAAACTATTATAATTTGTAATTTGTTGTACGGAGTAGTGCAGGGAGAAAGAGAGAAGATAGGGTTAAAATAAATAAAACATAACAAGTTATAACAAGATGTACGTAGTAGTGCAGGTAGCATGAATAAAATGTAAAAATAAATAAATACTAACTATTTAATAACAATTTTTTTTTAATTTGCGAGAAACTTACACCCCAAACAGACAAATTTTATTTTATATATATATATTTTTAAAATATTTCAATTAGTTCATTATTTTGTGACTAGTCGATTCGGGGAGGATTTCAGTATTAAGACTTTAAAGTTTAAACCTCTTCAAAAATGGTATTGGAGAGAATCGAACACGTGCTCTTACCCCGACCTGCTTAGTTAACTAGCGCCAACTGAATTGCCATAATTTTATATTTTATTTTATATTTAAAGTATACGATTCTGCACCCAAGAAAAAAGTATACTTTGTATTAATGAGATAGGTTATTATATTTATTTTTTTCCATTCCTATTTTACTTACCACTCTCCAATACCGTTGGAGCATAATCTCAACTAACTTTTACCATTTTTTTTCTTTCTTTTTTAGATTATAATATAACAGCGTTAGAGATTGGTAGATAGCGTAGATAAAATAACTTAGCCTTGTATTAATTTATGATTTTCCGAAAACATAATTATGAATATGTTTACTTAAACATTTTAAAACACGTTTTAGAGAAACTGTCACCCACTTTATATATTTTTTTCTTTGTGAAATATAGAGTGTGATAAAGGTCAATTATCTCCCATGAGTATTTCTTTAAGATCGAAATTCGATCTTAAGGTAATCACTTTTAGTTGGGTTATATATATATATTTTTGATAACAAGTTGGGTTATATCTTTTACCTTCCAAGCACATACACCTAAAGAAAGTGTCCGTTCCGTGTAATATGTATTAAACTGTGCAAGACAAAACTTCAAATACTTGCAATCAGATTGAATTGTACGGTGTTAATATTTATTTGGCACTAGCAGTGGCAGTGAATTACGACCTTAACCGAATCATAATTACAATATCAGAAGTCCTTGACCCAAAAGGTTAACCTTATACTAAGACTTGATATATATGTTTGTTCATGTCCAATTCCATGTTTGCGTGATCTATATTCCTACCCTATTATTAAGAGGTGTAATAAAATTATTCATACACTTTTATATAAAAATTTAGAATTTTGAAACAATAGCAAACATCATTTACAAGATGGACCATTGACCTACTTATATTTAATGACTCACAAAATTAAAAAATTAGTCGTTAAACATAAATAGGATGAATGACCAAAATTAAAATTAAGAATGTAACTTATAGCAATGTAACATAATCCTAACCCATAAATTAATTTATGACAATTATGATTTCACATATTTTATTCACTCCAACCAAGTAAAAGCTTATATCATAGTAAGTACTGATTCCAAAAGCAGGAACGTTTTAGACTGAGATTAGAGGCTGATTCTCCCTGATGGCCTGATAAAGTCATGGTTCGTTGCAGGAACACAAAGAAAGCTCTTTTCTACTTGAAAGTGGGGGTAAAAAGAATAATAAAAAGCTGTACTCATTAATGTTAGTAAGGTTGGGGCATGCTTTTGAATTCAAACACCCACCGTCGTTGTTATGGGTCCCTATTTGAAGAGTCTATGCCGAAAAAATTAATTAGTCCGCCAACCTTGTATGTATCAACCTCATGTCAAGCCTGTTTTGGCATATGAACAACAGTGCCACTCATCCTTCAAACAAACGGAGCTTAAACACTCTACCCAGTTTTCTATTATTAAGTTGCTTTTCAGAAAGTATATCAGTAGCCAAGTTGACTAGATCGCATATCCAACCAGGTACTATCTCATTCTTGACTAACAAATGGCAATATTATATGGGTTTGATGTTTTTCTTTAAAGAAATAAAATTATTTTTTATACATATAAAAATATATAAAGCTCATATGAAATCATATAAAAAGAAGAGAGAAAAAAAATATAAACTCCATACATTTTTATGTATGTATAAGAAATAATTTTCCCTCTTACGACATGAGATTAAACCCTGTTATATTTATCAGAAACCATTAAGATCTATGACCGTTTTGGGGAAAGATAAGATGAAGGTGACATCATTGGAGAGCAATTGATTATGATGTTTTGTCTTCTTTTTTTTGGCGTGGTTTCGCCGATGAATTTCATTCACAAACAGAAACTTCTGTGGGCCCCTTCTGATTACCCTCTGATACAGGATTTGAATTTAAAACACAGCTTACTCAGAGACAAATAACATTAGCATAACATAAGGAATATAAAATTAAACAAGTAAAACCAAATTGCAGAGTAGAACATACCAATATGATCACACCAAACAAAACTGTCCCATCAACCTAATAATATATATGGGGCATTTTACAAATGTTCCAGAGGCCAGGAGATTAACAGGCATATATAAAAAATGGTTCCAATCTTAGAATCTACCTTGGTGAAACCGGAACTTGGGAAGCAACCCACGATTCATCTAAATTAGAAACTGGCAAAAGATTAGAATCATACTCTCAACTGAAAAGAAATAAGTGCCCAAATTTAGATCTAGGTGCAGATAAATTCTCTCCTTTTACTAGTCTTGAGCAGTCGTAGGAGCAGCTTGTTGAATCCTTCGTTGATGAACATCCCAATTATACACGCGAGCAATTGTAACCTGATCAAATATCAATAAACAATCAATAACTAAAATTTCCAGCACATTGTGGAAAGATTGGGTGATAATTGATAAACAAAATCAACTACACATAAAAAGAAAAGAAAAGAAGTGGTGTTCAAGTGTCCCTGATACATCTATTATATGCCAAATTTGAGATCAAAGTAAAATCAAAATGCAATATCAAGGTCCAAATTAAATAATTTTCTCCCGTTCAATTTTCCAATTTAAGTTTTTTCATTTTCTATGCGAAAAAACTAACCAGTGAAATAAAAACTTTTGTATCCCTCTCAATTTTCGCTTCCTTTTTTATTTTCTACCTTCTCATGCTCTACCCCTCCTGCTAAAAACTCCACTTTGCAAAGGACTCAACGGCTTGAGCCACATCCCCATGCTATACAAGTTGAATGCCCTTAACATTTATTTACTTTTTATTGGATGGTGTGGGAAATGCAGAAAGATATGGAGCAATTATAAGTTAGCAATCTGACCTGAGTAATTGTCACCTGCTCCCTCAAGAACTGTAGATCTGCAACAAGAACTTCTAAACTGGCTCTAGCATTATCCAGGTTCTTCTGTAGAAGACCAGTAGCCTGCAACAGAAATTTACATTCTACTTATGTGGGAAAAAAATTCAAAAAGAAGAAGAAAATAACACCTAAATCTAACAAACAAGCACCTCCTCTAATGAATATTCCAACATAACATTTGCTCCCAGCCATAAACACACACAGTCAGTTTCCTCTACACGAGCTCGTGAATATATGCCTTCTGACACTTCAAAATCAGCAATAAGATCCTGCATTTAAAGTCAAATATAAATATTCTATTTCATAACATAACACAACTAATGTTTTTTGCTTCCAGTAGAAACTTAGGTGGCATCATATGGTTTATCAACGGATCAAAATTAAAATTAAATATTTTAAGTACACACAAAATGATGAGGAATTGACAAATAAGTACTTAGGGCTCCCTAACAACAGCTGAGCCTGGATTTATACAACAGCATAATTAGCAATAGTTATTGGATAGGCAGCAATTTTGACCCCTCTCAAAACTTAGTTTTGACTTTGTGCCAGTTTGACATGTCTTATTTTTATCTTTTCTTCTCCTTAAAAGCAAAAGCTTAGCCAAATATGTTTTTATAAAAGCTCTTATTATAAAAGAGCTTTTTTTTACAATGAACAAAAAAGCTAAAAGATAAAAGCTCTCAAGAGGAGCTTTTTCTAAAGATGTATGCTAGCTTTTTTGACTCCTCATATTTATTTTACAGTTTTACCCTTATTCTAAACTTGTATTAATAAATTTTATCCTTTACCCTAATAATTCATCTTCATAATAAATTATTTTATTTTCCCTCCTTCAAAACCATCAAAACAACTTTATATAATCACCAAACATCTTTTATCTTTATTTTTTAAGCTCTTTTTCTTTAACTTTAGTTTAAAAGTAACTTGTATCCAAAAAAAAAGTCCAAAAGTAACTTTTAGCTTAAAAGAAAAGGTGCCAAACAAGTTCTTTATCTATCCACAAGCAATGCATGTATGGCATTGCGATTTTGTTACCATTGACAAAATATAATATCACTTGCAATAGTGTTGAATTTATTTCTTTTGCAAGATGGGGGGATGATTTTGTTAAACAGGAACCCTTGTAAACCTGAGAAAGAAGCAGGGATTGAGACCATGACATCAAACACACCCCATCTAATATTCTACAGTCTGCACTATAAATGTAGCATCATTTGCAATTCTCCTAAACAGAATGCAAATTTGAGATAGACCATAACATTCAGACATTTGAAATTGACTTCGCTCTTCATTTGAGGGAAAAGTAGAGAAAGATATATTTTAGGATCCATGTATTAAGTTACACCCTCCATTATTTTGACAATCTGACTCTTTACTCTTGTGCACATAGTACAGACAGCCAAAGAGTTGTAGATATAAGTGTTTAGGGCATGATCTCCCAAATACAAGCAAAACTAGCAAACAAGGAGCAAAGCTCACTTTTATAGCTCAACGTCTGTCCTCCAACAAGTTTTGTTTTGAACATTTTTCTTTTATTCCTTCGTTGAGTCTAAGGCAGTTTCCTAACCTAAAAATATACAACTCTGCATAATTTTTGCACATCCTTGGTGTTTCTGACATACATTATTTTACATCTATGAGGGTTCTAGTGATACTGAAACGAATCCCTTTAGAACAAGCAGGAAAGCCAGTTATAAAGGTTTATCCCTAATTCCCAATGGAAAAGTGTGGTTTGTTTATGCAAGAAACTAACACGTGTAAGCATGAATATGAAAGTGATGCAGTGCATTCAGCACAAACATGAAAACTCCGGTATGTGTGCATCTAGGACTGCCTCTCTGGGTTCGGAAAGAGATTAATCAATGTTATATGATACGAGGGATGAACACAACAGCAGACTCTGACTAAGCTTGAGATGATGAATCAACCATTAGGGGTTACAGTTAACAATAGACAAATCCCAACGGACAATAAGAACTTTTTCATATGGTATAAACTTAAGATAAAACTATACCCAGAGAAAAAGATCAAGGCATATATATAAACGATGTCATAAAACTAGAAAATTGAAACAAGCAGCAGCATCGAAGTCCGACAATTAAAACATGGGGACCTGCGCCATCAACTTCTTCATGGAGGGAAAAAAAAAAGGTGAACGACAATGCAATCCCCTACACGCTAGCTGCCAACAAGGAAAAAGAAAAAGGATACCTCTAAACAAAGGTCATGTCATGAGCCATGAAATTAATTCTAGCATACTCTCTCTTTATGTCATTTTTTCCTCATAAGGGCACTTAGGAATCAGGAAGTCTTGAGGATGTATGATGTATCAACAGTACAAAAATTATGGCATACATTTTCATCCCAACTTTATATGCATAAGCAGAATAAGATGCACAGCACTTCAGATTTCAGCTGTAGCTAATCTGTACCATTTATATCTAGACATTTTCGTAAGGTATAAAGTTCAAGAATCTTTCACCTAAATAATATTTACTACTATAATTTGTTATAAAAATTCAGGCTCCAAACGAACCTCACCAGTACCCTTCTTAGCTTGCAATGTAGCAACAATGTCTAAGCACTTTTCAATATCTGGTATCTTTGCCTGAAAACGATCAAAAACAAATAGTGTCCTGTTTATTAGATACTTAAAGAAAAACACATGCGCGTGTGCTCACACAGAGAGAGAGAGAAACATTTGGATGAATCAATTTATGTCAGTCACTGTTGACCAAAATAGAATAAACAAACAATAGTTTTCTTCTTTTACTTAAAATTTTAAAATTAATAGTTGGTAATGAATCCTCAGAAAGATGATATTTATGATTTAAATTAATTACATTCTAAACCAGCATTTTTTCCTCAAAGTATGAAGCCGAGGCAGTTAGGAACAGAAAAAATAAAGAAAATATGACAACTTTAGATTGGAGTCTATGTCTACCAGCGTAAATACAATGCAACTCAGCTCAGCTCTAAATTCAACTGTTGGGGTCTGGTTGCAGCCCATATATGTTTTCAAAACTATAGTGTGGAATCCCATGGCACAAGTCTGAAAATAATAAAATTTAATACATATCACAGGACAAAGAGCTTGCTGACTGATCCTGTCCAGTAGGAGCCTAAACTGGCATAAAAATATCAAATTCACACATGCTCTTATAGCAGTTATTATCTTACTCAAGGCCATTGATTCTAGCTAGAAACATAATATGATTTGTTGTCCTTTTAGACTTCAGTCAAAATATCAACAAGACAATTACAACATAAAAGCATGCCTCAGTGTGGCTTCTTTAGGATTGATGATTAAGTATAATCTATAGATATATAAGGCAATGAAACCTGAAGATCCCTTTGCTGAGCAAGGAGCTTCATTTCGACTAACTTGTATTGCTGAAGTCTGCAAGAAAAATATGATGGGTCATCATTCATACAAAAACTCAAGAATGAATGTGAAATTCCCCAAAAAGCATGAAATAAACTCATTCATAAGTTCTTCTTTAAGCATAAGAATGAACTTTTGGGTTCTCAAGAGTCTGGTCAATGCAACAGCAATTTGTGAAATCTAGTTTCTTTGCAAAATTAACACAGAATGACATAATAACAATGCAAGGAGTTTCATACGCATAAGTACTGTTCTTTAAACATTATAAGGAAGAACTTAATTATGTGAATTGTACACTTAATGAATCTAAAGAATGACAACTCAAGGACGATACTTTCCAAAGTTTTAAGAAGGACTCACATTGATTGCAGTCTAAAAATCGCATTAAAAGCTGCCTCATCAATTAAACCAACTATACATATCACAGTAACAAAAATAACAACAAACCATAATTTCAAGTAGGTTATTTGAAGTATATACCAGAGGTCCAGAAGTAGTAAACAAATTTATTATTGATCCACGATAACTCTCATAAACCATTCAGTCACTCCTGATTTCCAGGTAATTCATTTGATCATGTACAATATTTCTCACCATTCCAAAAATCCAAAACAACAGTTTCACAGCCGCAGGTTATACAGTCTAAACTCTAAACCATCCATTGAGCTCCTTCACTTAATATTTAGTTGAATTTGTTATCCATCCCTACCTTTGCACAGAAAATCTTCATTTTTCATCCTATTATCTAAAACCTACACCGCCAGCAATTATACATTCACATCAATATCTGTAACCCTAGACATTTTTAAGGGATCAAGCAGCGAAAAGAAAGAAAAACCTTAAAAAATCAGTTATTGATAATCATGAAGTAAAAAATGTATAGTGAATAATGATAAGGGAGAATATAGTTGAAAACCTTTCTTGAAGAAAAGCGAGGGCGGAGCTAACATCGAGGCCTGACTGAGCGAGATAAGTGTGGACATCTTCTACGAACTGAGCACCTGGTATTCCTCTTCGCTCCGTCACCACTGGACCTGAACCTGACGATGAAGATGAAGAAGCCATTGTTGACACTGCGCGATCAACGACACAACGCTTTATCGGTTGTCGTTTTATTTTGGGTTATGGGTCAACTAAGCCCACGTTCGGTTTTTCTTTTGGGCTTGCTTTTTCCTAATGGGCCTTGGAAATTATGAAGAATTGGCAAATTGGATTTTACCTTTTCCTGGTTTTGGAGACTGTTAATGGTTATAAAAAAAAAAAAACTGCAAAAAAATTTATCACCTTTACCACCAACCTAATCATCGTTGATTTTCATCAATTTAACGGTCATAATTTATTGGCAATTATTGGGTCGCATTTATTAATTAATTATTAATTGCCAATAAATTATGACCGTTAGATTGACAGAAATCAACGGTGATTAAGTTGGTTGTAAAAGGTGGTAAATTTTTTTGGTGATAAGTATATCTTACCCAAAAAAAAAATATTAAGAAAAAATTTGATAAGAATATGTGAATAAAATTGTCATTTATCGGCCTGAAAAATCGTGTGTGCCTTTTTTTTTTTTTTTTTCAGGTAGTATATCGGGATGCAGTTTTACATTAAAATAAGAAAAAACATGAATTGTTCAGGGAAATGCATAAGGCAGTCTATGCGTGAAAAGATCTTGCAATTGAGAAGCCCATGGATTTCCATTTGAGAGAGTTATGAGTCAATTAATTTGAAATAATGGGCGTTTTGGGCCCTTTCCTTTTTTATTGCTTTCATAAGTTTAATAATGTATAGTTGTATACCAGCCCAAATAAAGCATAGGAGAAGTCCCCAGCTGCCCAATACTAAGAAATTGAGCATATTGGTGACCTCTTGGTACAGTGGTGATCCAACTAAGTTTTAGTGTTGATATGTCTAAATTTAATGGGTTTGAATTCGGAATAATTCCTGAAAAGAATGAAGAGACACAAATCTAAAATCAAATTAGTCAGGTCCATTAATACTATCTAAAAAAATATGGTTGGTGGCTGATTTAACTTATGACTTGCATATAATGATAAAAATGGGAACATTTGGGATGACCCAACTGTTTGGTTATACCACCGATCCAATTTCAAATGATTTCTAAAAAATGTGCTCTTTAACCCCTGAATAGTGTATCTTACATTTCCTTTCTCATTTCATTTGTGATTAGAAAGCCACTCTCAATTTGATTATAATTTTTCTTCATCTTCTATCGAATATTATGGAGTATTCTTATAATAAATCTTACACTAAATTTTAACCGTTGATTTCTGTGCATCTAACGGTTAAAATTTATTGAGTTTTACTTATTAATTCTCAAAAAATCTCAACAGAAATCAACGATTAAAATTTGGTGTAAAACTTATTATTTTTAAACTGGTGTAAGTTGATCTTCTATATATATATATATATATATATATATATGATTGTTCCATCATTACAAGTAGGGTGGCTTCATGATATTGTTGGAAAATTATAAGGCTTACAATGAAAGCATAAATTTGTCCATGTCTTTGCTAACAGAAAGGAATAATCTTATCTTAGGTGTTGGATTTGGTTTACGTTTCTTTAATGGATATCCTTTTCTCTAGGACCAGGTGTTTGATTCAATGTACACGCACGTTGTGTGTAAAGCTTCCAAGACTAGGGATGAAAGGTCTAATCAGCGCAAGGTTGCTTAACGAAATCGTGGGTAAGTGACCAGAACCATAACCTAATAATTTGACGCTTTATCTGCCAATGGCGGCTGGTGACACCGCAATTCATGAACTCTAACAACAATAAATGACTATGGCGGCCATATTCTCTATGAAAGGGAAATATTTTTTATGCTTCAAGATTATTTATTGATTTAGTGTTTTTTCTCAAAACACTAATTTTTTTTTTATTTTTACTCTTGTTATTTTTTTTCTATTTCAATTTTATCCTCTCATTTACACTAAGAGACCACCTAAAAATAGTGATCTCGGACCACAGTAAATTCTCCCCTATCAAAGATGCCTCCACCAAATATTATATTCATTTGTGCATGTGAAGGGAGAAAGAAGCAACACGGTTAAAGAATAATTCACGTGGTTAATTAACTAGGCAACAACAGCGATAAATAGCATGTTTGAATATTGTTTTTAAAAATAAATTTTTAATTTTTTTAAAAAAATTTATTTGAGAAGATCTGTTTTATATATAAAAATTTAAATTATTTTTATTTTATGTATTGACTTTAATTTTTAAAATAAAAAACACATATTTCATGACTCTTCTACAAAAAAAAATTTATGAAAAAAAAACAGAAAGTGTTCGGAATATAATTTGTTTTAATATGTTTTGGTCAAATAACCATTTTCCTACGGAGTTCTTAAGGTCTCAAATTCTATTGTTCCTTTTGCAATCGAGTGTTGTGGCGTGAAGCATGTGGTGTTGCTGTCCCAAGGCAAACTAATTTGAATTGTTGGAGATAATTTTTATCTCCTACACAAACATAAAAGTATGTGGAAGTCATTTTTCATTCTATCTATTCTCCTCACATTGGCCCCACATGGGCTTAGGGTTCAGTTCAGTTCGGAACCGATTCGAGTTGAAACCTATTCTAAAAAGAAAAAAAATTAAAGAAATAAAGTAATAAAACGGTTTAGTTCCGTTCGGAAACGGTTCGATTAAGTTCTTGAACTGGTTTCTAAAATTCAATTTGATTCTTGAGCTGATTCTTTAAAAATCAGTTCGATTCTGTTAACAGTTCAGTTTAGTTTTTTGGTTTTTTTGCACATCCTTAATGGTCGCCACACACTTTTATATATGTGTAAGAGATAAATTTATCTCGTATAACGTAAGAAATTAATCTCATCTTATATATATATGGTAAAATCGTTTCTGCAGCCGCTTTACATACAACAACGACAGGTGTATGATTATGATTTCCCGCATTTAATGTTTTTACGTATATATATGGCAAGTATTCGATTGATGCACATACAACAGCTGCAGAAATGTAAATCGCTATATATATATATATATATATATATATATATATATATATATATATATATATATGAGTTTTATAAGAGTTATGTTGTAGGAAAAATGGAGTTATCATACTATAGAGATTCGTATTCCGTGCCTTAGGTTTTTTTTTCCTTCGAAAAATGTGGGGCCTACAAAATATTGTGTGTGTAGGAAACTTTTCCTTTTTCTTATTGCATGATGGATGCAAATCCCTATACCCACATACATATATATATATATATGAGGTAGATCTTTTGATATCAGTGTCAAATTTGAAATTTGACATCTCATCTGAGAGCCATTAGATCAAAAAAGATCAATGGTGTCACATGTTTCCAAATCAGAGTCGTTAATCTTTTTTTATTTAACGACCTTCAGATGAGGTGTCAAAAGATAAGTGTACCGGCCACGTGCACCCTTTCATGATTCATATAATTCTTCTTTTTGTTCAAGCAACAGTAAGAATTATTTGGACATATCAATTTTAATCTGTATGGGGACTCGTTATGCTCGTTTTGCAAAGGGTCTGGTACAGGAGAAATTTTTATTTGTCCGAGAATCTCGGTTTTTAAAAATATAATTTTTACATTCAGTTTACGATAATATCTGAAAATTTAAAATTTTAAAAATTTTAATTTCTCGAAAATCTGAAAAAAAATCTGTGTACCAAACGACTCTTTAACAACTCTAGTCATAGCATGTTTTTTTAATAACGATACTTGCGAAGATAAATATATGGTCAGATCTCATAAAAAATAAATAAATTTAATCTGAGACATTGATTTCGACGAATAAGAAAGACAAGAGACGAAAAATAATAATTAAATTTTTATGAGGCATGTGGAAAAGTCTATATCAACGTATTTAAAAATTTTCAAATATATTTTAAAATATTCTTTTGAAAACGACACGGTCAAGAGGCCCTAGGCTTCGGGGTACAACACTACAATCCCTATGAAGGAAAAGGTGCTTGAAACAAGTGGGTTCAAGTCTAAAAGTGCTTGGTTTGTTAAACGTTTCTAGAGTTTGCACCACATTTATTGACCCTGGGTTATTCAACCATGTCCAGCAGCACGCACAGGCAAGCAAGAATTAAACAAACTAATGAAGGTTTTCATAATATGTAGAACACTGATATTAATTGCCAAAATCTTCAATTAAATTAGGTTATAACGTTTGTTGTTGTATACTTGTATCTCTAACAGTAAGTGGGTTCCTTCTGGCCTGACATTGGTTACATCATCATTATTCTTTTTGGGTACATTGTTACATTTTCAAGTTATAACAATGTACGAAGATTATGTATTTGTGTTCACAAGTCAAATGCATTTTTGCTTTTTCTGGGTTGTGGATAAGCATAAACGATGATAGCGTTTACTCTATAACTGGTCGATCGCTATCCAATTGTTAACTTGGATGCGCAAACCTTCGTTTAGTTTTCAATTGCATGGTGGAGGTTCTCATATCAACCTATTACCTATAGTAGGTTTCCAAGCTTGTTATTGTTTGTAAATGGCTCCATCCACATCACCATATAGTGTCTTCCTTTCGTGATTGCTCTGCTCCAAGGCTAAAGAGGTGTGACTGATCAAGTTAGAGTACGTACAACTACTTGTTAGAATTATTTTAATAATTTTTATAACTTGCAATCAAATGTGATTTCTAGTTTTATTAAAAATGAGCTAATGATTTATATATGATCTTTATAAGGCTGTATTATTGATATCCACTTGTTAATTTAAGTAATCATTCTATTCTATTTAAGTTTTTGGATAATTGTAACACTATTAGTATGGGTAACAATGTAAACCAAAACTCTTAGTCTATAATGGAAAGGCACTTATAAGGTTAATTAAATTGGTTAGTTTATATGCATTAATGTAATTTACATTTTATCATCCCACTATTTGTCTGCTAGAGAGTTGTGATGGCGAGTGTGAACTGCAAAGGAATCCTACTCTTTTAAGTTTTGTATAATTTAGAGATTAATTAGCAGCACATCAGATCTGAAATCATATTTTCAGCAAATTAAATAAGCATGATATGCCGGTATTC